TTGAGGATCCTGATGACTTTTTCCGTCAAAAGATAACTGGTGGCCGGTTACCGTCCAGAGTAGGTTCAGGCATGAGAGATGTTGTACAGCGTAATGTGGAAGAAGCATTTCACTATCTTTTTGGGAAAGACCGAAAGCTCTTTGCTGCTGGTACACCAAAAGGTCCTGCTTTTGAAAGATGGGATAATGGATATCAAATTGCTCAACAAATAGTTATGGGTCTAATAGATTGCTTAAGGCAGACTGGTGGTGCTGCTCAAGAAGGGGATCCTTCTTTGGTTACTTCTGCTGTTTCAGCCATTGTTGGCAGTGTTGGTCCAACTTTAGCAAAATTGCCTGATTTTTCAGCTGGCAGTAATCATTCAAATATGTCTTTGGCTACAAGTTCATTGAACTATGCTAAATGCATCCTGCGAATGCATATAACTTGTTTGTGCTTGCTTAAGGAAGCCTTGGGAGAACGCCAAAGCCGTGTATTTGAGATTGCTCTTGCAATGGAAGCTTCTACTGCTCTTGCTGGAGTTTTTGCTCCAAGTAAAGCATCTCGAGCACAGTTTCAAATGTCTCCTGAAACCCTTGATACCGGTACTGTTTCCAATGATGTTGCGAACAACACTAGTAAACTTGTGGTTGCAAGAACAACAAAAATTAGTGCTGCTGTTTCTGCACTTCTTGTTGGTGCAATTATATGCGGTGTTACCAGCCTGGAAAGAATGGTAACCATACTCAGATTAAAGGAGGGCCTGGATGTTGTGCAATTTGTAAGAAGCACAAGATCCAATTCAAATGGGAATGTGCGTTCAGTTGGGGCTTTTAAGGTGGATAGTTCAGTTGAAGTTCATGTCCATTTGTTTAGATTGCTTGTTGGGAATTGCAGAACCATCTGTGAAGGCTTAGTGGTGGATCTCTTGGGTGAACCATCCATTGTCGCTCTTTCAAGGATGCAGCGCATGCTTCCACTAACTTCGGTCTTTCCACCTGCCTATTCAATATTTGCTTTTGTTATGTGGCGGCCCTTTGTTATGAATGCCAATGTAGCAGTTCGTGAAGACATGAATCAACTTTATCAATCTGTAACAATGGCCATAAGTGATGCAATCAAACATTTGCCGTTCAGAGATGTATGCTTAAGAGATTGTCAGGGTCTTTATGATCTTATGGCTGCGGATATGAGTGATGCAGAGTTTGCAAGATTGCTTGAGTTGAATGGCTCTGATAAGCATTCAAAATCTGTGGCATTTGTTCCCATCCTTGCTAGACATTTTCTAAATGCCATGATCGATTGTAAGATGCCACAATCTATTTATACAAAGGATGATGGAAGCCGGAATTCTGGACATGGTGAATCTAAAATTGATTTTACAAATAGTGAATCTACACTTAAGGACAAGCTTGTAGATGTGTTAGATTCTCTGCAGCCTGCCAAGTTTCACTGGCAATGGGTTGAACTCAGGCTGCTTTTAAATGAACAAGCCCTTGTTGAAAAACTTGGGGCACATGATATGTCTTTAGCTGATGCTATACAGTTGTCCTCACCTAGTTCAGAGAAGGGTGCTGCTTCTGAGAATGAGAACAATTTTATTGAAATAATACTCACAAGGTTACTAGTGAGACCTGATGCTGCACCCCTTTACTCGGAGTTGGTTCATCTTTTTGGGAAGTCACTAGAGGATTCAATGTTGTTACAGGCTAAATGGTTCCTTGGAGGTCAAGATGTCCTCTTTGGTCGGAAGACCATTAGGCAACGGCTAATTAACATTGCAGAGAATAAACGATTTTCTGTTAAGACACAGTTTTCAGAACCCTGGGGTTGGTGCATCCCTGTTGATTCTGTGCCTCTTGAAGAAGGAGAAGTTGTTGAAGAGGGGACAGATGCGAAAAGGCCCATAAAAGCGTTCTCTCAAGTGCTTAACTCTGAAAGCTCAACCAGTAAGCAGCAGCATGGGACGGAGAGGGCTCTTCTTCAGTTAATTCTTCCTTGCATAGATCAAAGCTCTGATGAATCTCGTAATTCTTTTGCAAGCGATTTGATCAAACAATTAAATTATATTGAGCAGCAAATAGCTGTAGTTACTCGAGGACCAAAGCCACCAGCAAGTACTCCTGTCAGTGAAGGTCAAACAAATAAAGTAAATAGCCGCAAAGCTACAAGAGGTGGCAGCCCTGGGTTAGCCAAACGACCAACACCTGCACCAGATTCTTCCCCACCTTCTCCTGCTGCTTTACGAGCTTCAATATCTTTACGTGTGCAGTTACTCATGAGATTTCTTCCTATTCTTTGCACAGACGGGTAATTATGATTAAATTTCTTCTAATCTTAACACTGTTTTCTATGCTGTCATTAAGTTCTTTCTCCTTTCTAGATTGTTGCTGCACTAAAGTTATACTTTTTCACCGGATAAGTAGTATGAGATTTTCTTGAAACATTTTTATATAGTTAACTATTGTGGGGGTAAAATTCTATATCATTTTCAGTTTTCTTGAAATGCTTAAAAAATGGAGATAATTGCAATATGAACATTTTCAACAATACAGTTAGTTATCTACTATCTGCTGTATTATCATGGCTTCCAGCTACTTGCATCGGTGAGAGTTCTTTATGGGTGCCAAAAATGAATTTGCTTCTGGAATTTTCAGAAGTGAAATATGGACATTGGCGCTATGGAGGAATTTGCTTGTTTATTTGTATGTCACATTAGTGTATCATATGTAGAGGTTGTTGATAGAGGCGATTCAGCTAGATGTTCAATTTTGCAGGGAGTCCTCTGTACGGAGTGTGAGATACACACTTGCCTTTGTAATTCTTCGTCTCCTTGGCAGCCGGGTTGTGCATGAGGATGCAGTGGTAAATGCCATGCACCATTCTTCATCGAGAAGGGAGGTGGAGTCACCTGCTGAAGCTGCTTTTGTAGATTCTTCTACTGAGGGCTTGTTTGATCGTCTGTTGTTGATTTTGCATGGATTGTTGAGTAGTTCTCCTCCATGTTGGCTTAGGTTGAAACCTGTTTCAAAGACAACTAATGAACCTAAAAGGGAATTTTCTGGATTTGAACGTGAGCCTTTGGAGGCATTGCAGGTATGATCCTTCAACCTATGAATGTACAGCTTTAAGTTTCTGTCACTGATCTCATGTTATTATATATATAGGAAGGAATTTTAATTCTTGATATTATCTTCTGGGTGGCACTGATTATAAAGAATGCATGCGGTCTTCATACTTTTCTTATGGTCTTTTGTATAAAACAGAATCACCTTGATAATATGCAACTGCCAGACACTATCCGTGGGCGTATCCAAGCAGCAATGCCTGTGCTCCCTCCCTCTATTCGGTGCTCTTTCTACTGCCAGCCGCCAACTGTACCAGTTTCCGCACTTGCTTCTCTTCAATCCAACACTACAAGTTCAGGGTTTAACTCCAGCAGTCCAACTATCCCTCATAGGAACCTGGTTCCATCATCAAGGACTCCAGCATCAGGGAAGTCAAAACAGCAGGACAATGATTCAGACGTCGTTGACCCTTGGATGCTTTTAGAAGATGGCGCTGGATCTTGCCCGTCTGCAAGTAATACTACTATCATGGGAAGTGGTGACCGTGCTAATATTCGTGCTGCAAGCTGGCTTAAAGGGGCTGTAAGGGTGCGACGAACAGACCTTACATATGTTGGTGCTGTGGATGAGGATAGTTGATTAAAAGATTTTTGAATTTGATTGGCTTGGAGTATGCAATCCCCTCATCAAGTGTATTTGTTGATTCCATGTCTCATGTCTATAATTGATGGCATGAATATGATGGCATTTTGTGCTTGCCCTTCTTGTGTTGAAGGGAAGTTGAGGGGACATCGATTTGAGAAACAGGTGAAGGGGGGATGTCGTCTTTGGTGACGAAAAGTGAAGGTTGTCCTGGCCTCGTTGACTACTAACCTGTTGATCCCCCCCACACCCTGGACTTGTGCCTTCCAGACACAGTTCAGTGGTTCGTTGTAAATATATGATCATTGTTTCAACTTTTCCAATTTATTTGAAAATATATATCAAGCGATCTGTAGTTCCCTTCTAATTCATGTCTCAACGTGTAAAGTTCAGTCTATCTTTTATTTGAAAATATATATCCAGTGATCTGTAGTTGTTCTCTTATAATTCATGTCTCAAGTCTCAACAAGTTCAGTGTATCTTTTGGGTCCACAAGCACACACCAGTGCACTTGTTTAAAATTTCTTTCTATATACAGAATATCAAAGTTATCTGTGCCTTCATCAGGAGAAATGCAGTATTCAATTATATATATATATTAGTTATTTATAATTTATCTTCTATTTCAATTATTTTATATTTTATCTTTTATTTAAATAAAATATAGAGACATAAAGTGTCTCAACTTCATAAATAAAAATAAAAATAAAAATAAAATAATAATAATAATAATAATAATAATGATAATAATAAAGAAGATAATAATAATGATAATGATAATGAATTTAGAGATGTAAGAGTGAGTCTAACTACAATGAATCATCTCGTCTCACCACATATTTGAGTCATGCCGGATTAGAAAAAATAGTGTACCAATTTTGAAACTAGTGGTTTACTTGACTCGTGAGGCAAATAGGTTTAAATCGAAATGAGTTGAGTTAACTCGTTTAACTCACAACAATAAAAAAATAAAATCTATGTTTATGTTTTGTGTAGTTGTCATTTAAAATTTTGATTGATATTTTCTTTTGTATTTGAATTTAAATTAATGATAGACTTGATTTTTTTGATTGAAAAAATTATAAATCTTTATTTTATTCAATAAAAAAGATTATTAATTATTTTGTTTTTGTTTTTAATTTTTAATTTTAAAAAATTTGATAAGTTAATCCACCTAAGCCTCTAACCCATGATAGGTCAAATCGAGTTGAAAATTTTCTAACTCATAAGAAAATGAACCAAGTTTGATTGACCCATTTAAAGTATCAATCCGTTGTAAGTTAACCTATACAAGCCAAATTAATTTATTTTGAAACCTTTAATAATAATAATAATAATAATAATAATGATAATAATAATAATAATAATAATAATTATTATTATTACCTTTGTTATCCCATTTCTTAAGTATATCATTCAATTAACTTGATGACTCCAGTAATTTTGGTTTCATTTACTAAATCACGCGCAGAGGAAATCACAACCGCAATGAAACTACGAGGATGATTAAAAAAGAAGCATGCTCAATCTTTTTTTTTTTTTTTAAATGTTTTTTATTTTCTTTTCTAATTTGAAAATTTGTCCATATAAAGTGATTGATATGATAATAACATTGAGGAGCCTTTAATACATAGTATTGAAGTAAGGAGTCTTCTGCCTTACCCATGCCCGACACCATTTAATCACGCTCGACGTGGATGAGATAGTGACCCTTGGGCCCTCGCGCCTAGCATGGAAAAGTCTCATGCATGATCTTGTTCCTAGCAAAAATGAGTCTTTTTCCTCATGCCAAACATCACTTCTTTAGCGCCCAATGTCAATTCAGGAAAAGTTAATTCTCTCATCTCATGTCCAATGCTATTCAAACTACTCCTAATTTGGCCGAGTCAAAGATTTTTCCTTTTCCTCACACTTGGCACAACTAATTTTACACTCAATACAAGTGAGATATAGGCCCCTGAATTGAGCCATGCTCGGTGCCATCAAGACATGTTTCATGTGATGATGAATACTACTCATAGTAGATCACAAATTTGTTTTCCTTTCACCTAAAAACCAGAAATCCAAACACGCAACAACAAAAATTATATATATTCATTATGAACAACTCATATCGATCCAATCTTAAAATCAACATGCAACATACAATTTGATCAAAACATCAAATTTCACATCATGAACAAACACCAATATCACCTTTTATTCTTAGAATCAACTAATACAACCACCAATATTTGAAATTCAAGCACCTACCAAAGTGAAAATCAACATAGACCACACACAATCAACAATGATCAAGACTAGCTTCTCTTAGCTCAAAGTCAAAGTGAACTGAGAAGGGAGAAGAAGAAAGGAACATCCTTGAGCTACTTCGCACCAAATCCAATCCTCAACTTCAACAACCTTGGATTGCAACTCAATTGATCAACAAGAATCTTTTATGCCTTCGAGGAGTCTAGAAAGAAGAAAGAAGAATAATAATTTTAGAGTCATTCTCTGTAGTTTATCTTTCTATGTTTTCTGAGAAATGAGTTTATTAGAAGGTTTAAATCTCAAAAGAAACATTATATATTATCAATTCGTGATCAAATTGGACCTCTGTTTAGAGAAACCTTCTAAAATATCTAAAGACTTCTTAGGAGTTCCGTAACTCCCAGAGTTTCTCAACAACACACCTTAAAACACTACAACACATAATTAAAGAAAGATATAATACATGTTATAATAATAATAATGATAATGATAATGATAATAATGATAATGACAATGATAATGATGATGATAATAATAATAATAATAATAATAATAATAATAATAATAATAATAATAATAATAATAATCGTGATAATTATAATGATAATAATAATGACAATAATAATAATAATAATAATAATATAAAAAGGATACCGAATTTTTGATTCCACTTTTTAATAGTCAATGCCCTTTAATAATACATTCATCTCTTCTAATAACTACATTTATTTAACTCTAAAAATGACCTTAATTTAAATTTTAGTTTTTACTTATTGACACTCTATCATCGTAAATCAATCATGATTATTACGACATTGCAAAAATGATTATTTTTTTTTGTCTTAACATTATATATATATATGTTATTTATAATTTATCTTCTATTTCAATTATTTTATATTTTATCTTTTATTTAAATAAAATATATAGAGACATAAAGTGTCTCAACTTCATAAATAATAAAATAATAATAATAATAGTAATGATAATAATAAAGATAATAATAATGATAATGATAATGAATTTAGAGATGTCAGAGTGAGTCTAACTCCAATAAATCATCTCGTCTCACCACATATTCGAGTCATGTCGGATTAGAAAAAACAATATACCAATTTTGAAACTAGCGGTTTACTTGACCCGTGAGACAAATAGGTCCAGATCAAAATGAGTTGAGTTAACTCGTTTAACTCACAACAATAAAAAAATAAAATCTATTTTTATGTTATGTAGTTGTCATTTAAAATTTTGATTGATATTTTCTTTTGTATTTGTATTTAAATTAATGATAGACTTGATTTTTTTGATTGAAAAAATTATAAATCTTTATTTTATTTAATAAAAAAAATTATTAATTATTTTGTTTTTTATTTTTAATTTTAAAAAATTTGATATTAATCCACCTAACCCTCCAACCCATGGTAAGTCAAATCGGGTTGAAATTTTTCAAACTCATAAGAAAATGAACCAACTTTGATTGATCCATTTAAAGTATTAATCCGTGTTAAGTTAACCTATACAAGCCAAATTAACTTATTTTGAAACTTTTAATAATAATAATAATAATAATATAATAATAATAATAATAATAATAATTATTATTATTATTATAACCTTTGTCATCCCATTTCTCAAGTATAGAATTCAATTAACTTGATGACTCTAGTCATTTTGGTTTCAATTAAAAAATCACGCTCGGGAAGAAATCACAACCGTAATGAAAATACGAGGATGATTAAAAAAGAAGTGTGCTCAAATTTTTTTTTTTTTTAAATCTTTTTTACTTTCTTTTCTAATTTAAAAATTTGTCCATACAAAGTAATTGATATGATAATAACATTGAGGAGCCTTTAATACATAGTACTACTGTTAACATGCACAAAGTACCAAATATTAACACAATAAAATAAAATGAAATGCAGAAAATAACCACAAAAAAACATGAGAAACACTTGGCAAAATTTATTCATCACTATTTATTAATAAGCACTAAGATAGGGATCTCGATCCCTTCATCTATACATTGATTAGGAGCAAACAAATTTTTTTTCCTTCTTATGACTTATTCCAAGAATAACAATCAGTTGAATTGTCATTTGCAAACAAACATGGTCCACTTTTTTTTACAATCCAATAACAGTTCTTGCATCTATTCTGATCCCTGTTTGCATCATATATGTTAAACCAATGAAAGGCATCTTTCCATCTAAAGCCACAAAAGAACAATGTTGTTGCAAAAAAGTTAACCTTAAATTTAAACTGAAAAAAAGCATTGGGATGAAGAAATTGCACTCCAATATCATCATCTCGAGATTTGCAGTGAACGGTTAGGTCTAGTCCTCCTTCTAAAGTATTTGTAACCCTTACATGTATTGTGGGAAAAAGAGAAAAGCCTCGAGGATATTGCACTCCAGTATCATTACCTCCCAAAACATTGTGGGATGATAGTAGAGTAAGCAACCAAAGTACCAAAACTCTTTTGGCAAATGAAGACATTACTTCTTTTCTGATAATCCTTTCTTACTGTGAATCTTTGTTTATATAGGTGAAAAAGAATATATAAATGGAAATAAAATACTCCTTTTTATGTGCATAAGTTATTATAAATTATCTTAGTAAAAAGTTTGATTTCTATAAATTAATATGAAATTTATGTAATTAACAGGATCAAAATCTAACTCCTGTCTCAAATTCTGTCCCTCCAATCACAAAATGACATCTTAATTACATCATTACTTTTAATTTTAATTTTGATTTTTAAAAAGTGTAACGGATCATTCTGTTACGATTTTTTTTATTAATTTTTTTATTTTGATTCTCCTAACTTTTTTCTTAATTTATTGCATCTACTAGGTCAAAATTATTATTTTGTTAAATAGTTATATAATTTTTTTCAGATATATTTTATTTCTAAGAAAATATCTATTACATATTATTTTAGGAAAATTATTTTTTATTTTTTAGAAATATGACGATGAACAATATCTATTACATATTTTTTTAGGCCTTTTTATTTTTATTTATTTAATTTAAATTATTTTGAATTTAAAAATATTTAAATATAATAATTTTTTTAAAAAATATATCTAAAAATAATTTTCCTAAAAAAATTGTTTGCTCCTAATCTATGTATAGATGAAGGGATCGAGATCCCTATCTTAGTGCTTATTAATAAATAGTGATGAATTAATTTTGCCAAGTGTTTCTCATGGCTTTTGTAGTTATTTTCTGCATTTCATTTTATTTTATTGTGTTAATATTTGGTACTCTGTGCATGTTGACAAATGCTTCTCAATGTTATTATCATATCAATCATTTTGTATGGACAAATTTTCAAATTAGAAAAGAAAGTAAAAAAGATTTAAAAAAAAAAGATTGAGCACGCTTCTTTTTTAATCATCCTCGTATTTTCATTACGGTTGTGATTTCCTCCGAGCGTGATTTTTTAATTGAAACCAAAATGACTGGAGTCATCAAGTTAATTGAATTCTATACTTGAGAAATGGGATGACAAATGTTATAATAATAATAATAATAATAATAATAATAATAATAATAATGATGATGATGATGATGATGATAATAATAATAATAATAATAATAATAATAATAATAATTATTATTATTATTAAAGGTTTCAAAATAAGTTAATTTGGCTTTTATAGGTTAACTTAACAAGGATTGATATTTTAAATGGATTAATCAAACTTGGTTTTCATTTTCTTATGAGTTAGAAAAATTTCAACCCGTTTTGACCTACCATGGGTTAGAGGGTTAGGTGGATTAACTTATCAAATTTTTTAAAATTAAAAACAAAAACAAAATAATTAATAATCTTTTTTATCAAATAAAATAAAGATTTATAATTTTTTCAATAAAAAAAATCAAGTCTATCATTAATTTAAATACAACTACAAAAGAAAATATCAATCAAAATTTTAAATGACAACTACACAAAACATAAACATAGATTTTATTTTTTTTTATTGTTGTGAGTTAAACAAGTTAACTCAACTCATTTTGATTTGAACCTATTGCCTCACGGATCAAGTAAACTACTAATTTTAAAATTGGTACACTATTTTTTCTAATCCGACATGACTCGAATATGTAGTGAGACGAGATGATTCATTGAAGTTAGACTCACTCTGACATCTCTAAATTCATTATCATCATTATTATTATTATTATTATTATTATTATTATTATTATTTATGAAGTTGAGACAGTTTATGTCTCTATATATTTTATTTAAATAAAAGAAAATATAAAATAATTGAAATAGAAGATAAATTATAAATAACTAATATATATATATATATAATGTTAAGAAAAAAAAATAATCATTTTCGTAACGTCGTAATAATCATGATTGATTTAAGATGATAGAGTGCCAATAAGTAAAAATTAAGACATTACTTCTTTTCTGATAATCCTTTCTTGCTGTGAATATTTGTTTATATAGGCGAAAAGAAATATATTAATGAAAATAAAATATTCTTTTTTATGTGCATAAGTTATTATAAATTATCTTAGTAAAAAGTTTGATTTCTATAAATTAATATGAAATCTATGTAATTAACATACTTTTTATTTTCTAATACATTCCTTTTCCTTTGTGATATTCTTCTACCTCAAATAAATAAATAAATAAAACAAACAAATAATTTAACTTCAACAATTTTATAAAAAAAACAATAAATCTTTCTAAATGATACCTTATATGAAAGAGTTCACAATACTCCATAATTTTATTAAACGAAAAAACATAGAAAGTAATGTTTGACTCAAAGCAAGAAAACGTAATAAAATAAAAACTTAATAATTTCAAAATAATTACTAATACTAAAACCACTCTAACAAATGATATATACAAAATCAAATTATCATCTTTCATATATATATATATATACAAAACTATTCATTACAAAATAAAAATACCCTTGAAATTAAGCTAGATACTTGATATTTTTTTTTTGAAGTGATCAATATAACATGAGCAATAACTTTCATTGACTATATAGCATCCTGAAATAAAAACGAGAACAAAAACTCTGAAGTCATTTTTATTAGCAAGAATGAAGTAATTATGTTTATTTTTGAAATTGTTCTTAATTTTTTTTACTTGTTGAAGGCTACATATATGTATCACTAAGGGCAGTTGTCCTTGTAATTTTACACATTCGTTCGGCTGCAGTGATTTTAAGGGATTTGGTAGGTTGAATTACAATGTTAAGTAAACATTTGGACCTCATGCATGTATATATAATTAGGTAAGTAATATTCACAGTGACCCTCTAATCCTAACGATCAATCCACAGTGACGGTGTAGCTCAAATTTCATTGAATTCAAAGGCCGAAACATCCAGTTCAACAAGTTAACAGACTAAGTTGGAGTTATATGAAAGGCCTTTTCATTTTGTAACTTTTTTTTTTCCTCTTCGCATCTCCTCCGAGTTTCTTGTATTTTTCTTGAAAAAAAAAAAACCCTTCTCAGAAATTAGTTGAAGGTATTTTTCAGAAATTTTTAGATGTCCTCGAAATTAATTTTCGAAAATGTAATCAACCATTATTATTTCAACAACATATAATTTATTATGTATATACATGCAATTGTTAATTTTCTCATCAACAATTGATATTACTTATTTTAAGTATCTTTTAAACTGAATTATTACATTCTAAGACGAGTTACTCATTTTAAGGAGTTGAATCCTTAATTTTTTCAGAAGCCGCTATAAATCACGCTTAAAGAATGTGAAAACTGTTTTTTTTACTTTAGTACATTTAACAACTATAATTCACACAGATACAAGTGCATATATTTTTCATACAATCAATCATCTACTATCTGTCTACATTCTACCAAAGATATAGTTTACCACAAAGATTGTTGGAAGGAAAACAAGTGTTAGGATGCGGTTGTAAAACCAAGTTGTGGTTCTAGACATCTCGATTCCTCATTGTTTTATCTACATAAAGAACATCTTCAATCCATGCAACAATGTTAAAAGCTAGGCCCTCCAAAACTCTTGAATAACTCTCTAGTACTGCTTTCCCTATATCCTGCATAAGATCAGAACA